TGGCAGTAAACAATAGAATGGCAGCACAGTTACAATGGCAGTAAACAATAGAATGGCAGTACAGTTACAATGGCAGTAAACAATAGAATGGCAGTACAGTTACAATGGCAGTAAACAATAGAATGGCAGTACAGTTACAATGGCAGTAAACAATAGAATGGCAGTACAGTTACAATGGCAGTAAACAATAGAATGGCAGTACAGTTACAATGGCTGCAAACAATAGGCAGTAAACAATAGAATGGCAGTACAGTTACAATGGCAGTAAACAATAGAATGGCAGCACAGTTACAATGGCAGTAAATAAACAATAGAATGGCAGTACAGTTACAATGGCAGTAAACAATAGAATGGCAGTACAGTTACAATGGCAGTAAACAATAGAATGGCAGTACAGTTACAATGGCAGTAAACAATAGAATGGCAGTACAGTTACAATGGCAGTAAACAATAGAATGGCATTACAGTTACCAAGTTACAGTTACAATGGCAGTAAACAATAGAATGGCAGTACAGTTACAATGGCAGTAAACAATAGAATGGCAGTAAACAATAGAACAGTTACAATGGCAGTAAACAATAGAATGGCAGCACAGTTACAATGGCAGTAAACAATAGAATGGCACAATGGCAGTAAGTTACAATAGTAAACAAATGGCAGTAAATAATAGAAGTACAGTTACAGTAAAATGGCAGTAAACAATAGAATGGCAGTACAGTTACAATGGCAGTAAACAATAGAATGGCAGTACAGTTACAATGGCAGTAAACAATAGAATGGCAGCACAGTTACAATGGCAGTAAACAATAGAATGGCAGTACAGTTACAATGGCAGTAAACAATAGAATGGCAGTACAGTTACAATGGCTGCAAACAAGACAGTTAGGCAGTAAACAATAGAATGGCAGTACAGTTACAATGGCAGTAAACAATCGAATTGCAGCACAGTTACAATGGCAATAAACTATAGAATGACAGTACAGTTACAATGGCTGCAAACCATAGAATGGCAGCACAGTTACAATGGCAATAAACAATAGGGTGGCAGTACAGTTACAATAGCTGTATACAATAGAATGGCAGCACAGCTATAATTGCAGTAAACAATAGAATTTGAGTACAGTTACAATGGCAGTGGAAAGAGCTTTCTAAGATGCTTCGTTAAAAGATCAATAGACCAGTCAATCTATGACAGAAAATATATGTTATCAAGCAAATTGCAAAAGAAAGTAGTTTACTTGTTTCAGTATCAGAAACAACATTACATATAACAGGTCTAGAAACATTCAGCATGGGGGACATTTCCAAAATAGTGTTTCCTTGAGTTGTTCAGGTACCGTGTGGAGGCCGATCAGTGATATTCTACGTCTTCGGGAACCTCCAGTTTAAAGCATGTCAATAACCTAATCTGTCTAACGGTTCCTGAACCTAACCCCCACCCCCTTCTTCCCAGCCCTTCAACAAAGCTGAAGCCCTAAACGTGGAGGTTCAAGTTCTGGATTTCCTTCAAGTACCGTGTGGAGGCCGATCAGTGATATTCTACGTCTTCGGTGTGATGCCCGCAGTTACATTCAGGACTATCAGACATATATCTGGTAAACTTATATCCATTTAGATCGCTACACCCAAGCCGAAGTCGGGACTGGATAATCTGGCAAAATCTTGAACCATGGGAAAGATTAAAGTAGATTTCACTGGTGTTGCGTTCTTTTAGTTTATTATTGAATTCCCCAAGAGTATTGGCGTTTACGATGTCTGGAGGGAGAGAGTTCCAGATGTTTACCGTGTCAGGGATAAATGAATTGGAGTACAAACTAGTATTGCATTTATTATTTAGTAGGTCAGAATTATTTCTCAAATTATATCCACTTACAGATGATACATTTTCTGGAACTAAACTAGACAAATAATCTGGAACTAATTTGTTAACCATTTTGTATAATTTTTGACGGCGGCTTCTATTTTCAAGTGAAGAAATATTTGTCTCAGAATAGAGGTTATTATGACTTGTGCCGCGAACAGCTCCGCAGATAGTTCTGATTGCGTCTAGGTTTAATTTTTCTAGAAGAAGCGTTTGCTCTTTAGTGCAATTATCCCATACATGACACGCGTAGTCGAACATTGGTAAAATATATGATTTGTACATTGTCTGCAGCGTTTTCCTGTTGAAGCGATATTTAAAACTTCTTAGGCAGTTTATCATTGGACTGACTTTATTGTGACATTTTCGATTTGACTAAGCCACATACAATCTTGTTGAAGAACTATTCCCAAATGTTTGAGAGACGAGACGTTGTTTATGTTAGTGATATCCATAGATAAGACTGGTTTGATATTCTGAGTATGTTTACGGTTAAATTGAATAGAGACCGCTGCTACATTCGGATCGTTTATTACTACATAGAGCGAAGTGTCATCAGCTCATAGTCGTATATTACTGCCAATGTCATCAACGATATCGTTGATAAAAACTAAGAACAATAGCGGTCCTAGGACGGAACCTTGTGGGACGCCAGCTGTAACTGGTTTTAATTCGGAACTGAAGCCGTTGATTACGACACGCTGTCTTCTGTCTTCGATGTAACTTTTAAACCATAAAAGTAGTTTACCACAAATACCGTAAGCATTCAATTTCTGAATGATTCCTCTGTGCCATACTTTATCGAATACTTGGCTTATGTCGCAAAAAAATGCTCTTATTTCCTCCCCTTTAACTAATTCTTTAGCAATAAAATAATAAAGGTAAGTCAATTGGTAAGATGGTGAATCTCCAAGGGGTAAACCCGGACTGAAGATTTGTTAATAAGTTATTGTCTCTGAGATAATTAAATACACATTTGAAAACACATTTTTAAAATACTTTGGCTAAACAGCTAGTTAGTGCTACAGGTCTGTAGTTGTTACATTCGTTTATATTACCTTTCTTATGAACAGGTATCACTGAAGCCATTTTCCAAATGTCTGGAAAGATTGAGTTATTCAGAGAAGAATTAAACAATTGAGATAATAGGTCGGATATTACCAGAGCTGAGTTACCTATACCATCATGACCGGTTGCTTTAGCAACATCAACGGAAAGTGAACTATATTTAACTTCATTGGAACTCAATGTGATGGAGGATAAGCTCTGATTCGTTTTAACCTAAATTCTGGTAGGTTTGGGTCAGGATTTTTTACAGAAGCCTGATCGCAGAAATAATTATTCGCACTTAATTGTTACGATATCATCATATACTAAATCCCCATGTTTAACTGGAGGAAATAATGTGTTATTTCCGGTGCATTTCAAGTAGTTTTTTACTAAGCGCCACCAATGCTTACTACCGTACGAGTCGTTTATCTTACTATCGATTTTAGAGACATAAGTTTTCTTTGCTGTGCGAACAGCCGATTTAACTTTATTTCGACGTTTACGGAAGTTAGCCCAATCGGAGGGTCGGTTGCGTCGTTTAGCGGTTTTGTGTACACGATTGCGTTTTCGTATCAAACTACGCACTTCGCCAGACATCATTAATGGATCATTGGGTCTAACAGTAATTGTTTTGTCTAATAGTAACATTTATTCAGCTTATAATATAGCAATGTATCCTCCAGCTACTAAAACATATGAAGATGATCCCAACAATAGGTATTCAGTGTCTTCGTGACAATAACAAGTCATGTCCGGTTATGTGAGGTCATTACTGTGGAAGAATTCTAGGGAATTTACAAATAATGTTTTGCCCCCAGCCTGCAGCACGAACAAACTCGATCGGCGACTTCTGTCAACTCCGGAGCTGTTCCTGTAAACGGCTGAGGTGAGCTGCCAGCTCTCTAGCTGTACGTCCTTTTCCTGGGCGGTGCAGGAGCACCATGGTCCTACTGGGCAGTCCGTCTCCTGTTCATTGCCTCGATGCTTTTAACTGCATCAATGAAGATGTTAAGGTGACTGTGCCTGATGCTCTGGTTCAGAGAGTGATGAAAACATTCTAAATGGTTATTTGTCATCCTTCTGTGTCTGGGCGTCAGTCTAGTCAACAGCCAAGAGGCTTTCATCCTGTGTGTGTACTACCTACTCCCACTCTGCCAATAAACACCGCCTTTAAGAGCTGTTACTGTGATCATTAATCTCAGCAATACAAGAAGCTCAGTTTGTCGACCTTCAACTGAAATGGCAGAATCACTTCCGACTTTCTTCTCACGTTAAGCTGGCACGATATCCCCCCCCCCCCCCTCAAATTTCCCTTAATACTCAGGTTTTTTTTGTTTTTTGTTTTTTGCGTAATAACAGCACTATTTCAAAATTTCTATTGTTTGTTTCCCCTCATTTCTTACTAAGTGTACTACCCCGTCGCCAAAATGCCTTAGTTGTGCGTGCGACGTTAAATAAATCAGTCGCAACTGCGTTACAATGCCCACTCACTTTAAAATATTGACAAAATATAGTGGGTGAGTTTAGTTTTACGCCGCACTCAGCAATATTCCAGTTATATTACGGCGGTCTGTAATAGAACAACATTACCTTTTGAACGTCTTCCATTCCAAGTCTGTCATATACGTTAATGTATTGTTCTATATAATACTGCTTTTGTCATTTAATTATTTTCTCGTATTCGAGGTTAGGTTATAAATGTGGATTATAGAAATAATATTTAATAACCTTTCTTCTGCTGTCGTTACTTAAGAGGATTCACGAGATTTCTTCTCCCGTTATATAAATATATATTTATCCATAACCCTGCTAATAATAGATATTCTTTGACAAAAATAACTTCTTCAGTCTTTTATTACATTGACCACTGGGCTTCAGATCGGGATTGTCTATGAAAACAATTACTTCACAGTTTGCAAATCCATGGTATATAAACGCGCGAGCCGGTGCCTTTTCAGCTTCTGAAGGCAGCGATGCTTCTTGACAGTATTTGGGTCACCGAGTTATCGGGCGTTCGTACGTGTAGTCTCTCGAGAGCGTTTGAAAGCAATTACCTCCCCTTTAGAAATTTCGACCAATACACGACAACATTAGCTGCGGGCCTGAACGAAGACGACAACATGGCAGCGGGTAGTGTTCTTCCCACCTATCAACGCTATGTAAATGGTGTGCCTGTACCGCAAGGACGTAAAACACTGCGTTTAAGAGAGAAATACATAATATTACTAGTGTTTTTAACATTTGGGATAGTATGTTTTGGGGCATTTTTCCTTTTACCAGATCTCCGGGACCGGGTTACAATGGACGAAATGAGAAAACATATCCAAGAAGCTGGAAACGTCATATTTTTCCCACAGGCCGAACTGGGGGCTGATGGTCACCCTCTTGTTGGGGCGAAAGTTTTGAGGCATGGTGATATGATCGATCCTCACAAGATAGTTGACAAGGCGGAACTTCGGAAAAAAATCGATGTTGCATGGGAACAGCAGAAACTGAATGAAGCACTCGGTGATAGGCTAAATGTGAAACCCGGGGAAGCTCAAGACATGAAAGACAAAATTCAAGAAGAAAAAAATGTAATCTTGATGAAGAAGAAAGAAGAAGAACAATTGGCAAAGCAAGAAGAAATAAAGAAACAGCTTGAAGTTAAAAAGGAGCATGAAGGCCATGCTTTACCTGATGCAGCAGCAGGGGGCTCTCATGATGATGAGGAAAACAAGATGAGGAGAGAGAAAGTGAAGGAGGTAGGTTTTTGTAAAGTTTATCATATGTGCTTGGTCAGTTCCCATATGGATACTGAATTTCGTTTTCAACTGATATTACAAAGGGGTAGAGTTAGGCATGGGCTTTCTTGATTAGAACAGAAGGTAAGACTTCTGCGAGTATCTCACCAAAACATAAATATATGATTGAAAGTATTGTGTGTCAGTATTGTGTGTATTTGAAGATGTATGAAACAGTACCGATCTTTAGAGCTACAACATTCAAAATACAGAACTCCTTGGAAGGGAGGATATGGGCGGAAGTTTTTGTTATTATTATTATTATATTATTATATGATACTTATATAGCGCACATATACAGGCAACTAGTGCTTACTCAAGGCGCTGATATTTTTTTCCCCGATCATTGGATGTCAGTCTCAATGGCACATCGTATTATCAATCTCAACTCCCTGGGGAGTATGCAACTCTTGCAGCCACTAGGCGCACCGAGTTATTGTGGCTTTCTCATCCTAACGAGGTACCCATTCACAGCTGGGTGGACTGGGACACATAGTCACAGTATTTTGTCCAAGTTCACTGCACGTTGCTGTACCCGCAACTGGGTGTTTGCACGTATTCATGTGGCCACCATCTGGTCATGTACCAATGGATTCGTGGGTTCTTTTAAGTGCACAGGTTTGTGTACTGTACACTAGGGGTTGTGACAACACTGAAAGAGTCTGCACACAAATTTGACTTCAAGGTTTTTACACCCGGTCACAGGTGGGCTCGATCCCGACACCTCACCCCTCGCTGGATCACTAGCCTGGCGCCTTAGCCAGCTCGCCCACCACACCCCTTATTATTATAATAATTTGTCCCTAACAGACTGTGTTTAGGGAAGATGAGACTTGGTGGATCTGGTGATTAGGCTGTGTTAGTTTTTACTGTTACATGTTTTATGTCAATATGCTAATATCAAACAAGTGATGTACAGTACTGTGGGTAAAGCATTTATATATTTATATACATGAGTATTTATGTTTATGCTGTTAACTTACAGGCTGATAGTGTTAATTGATCTTAACACAGTAGGTAAAGTTAATGTAAAGAGTGTCATGGATGTTTACATACTAAGGATTAATGTAAACACACTGCAGAGATTAGGCCTTTAGAATGAGCTGACGGTCTCTAGATCACAGCACATCATGAGGAAGGTGAGGTGGTTAGATGACATGATTTCTGTCACTATCATAAACATGTTATCAGAACCATTCCTCATGAAGAGTAAGTTAACTAAATATGGTGGGTTAAACCTGTTGTGATATGAGGATACATTATTGTATCCGGATACAAGGCCCATGATACAATACATTGATTTACAACCTGTGTACCATGATACTCTAAAATGACAAGTAGCATACCATGCTGATTCATATTCTCTAGTATTTCCCAATTTTCCCAAGTGTTTGGTGATAGCAGAACATTCACAGTGCCTTACAATATGCCTACTTCGATCTCTGAAATTTGAAACATAAATGATAAAGGGATTGTTTCACCTTCATAAAGAAACATTTGTTTTGGTTTGTTGTTTAACGCTTCACTCAGCAATATTCCACTATATGAAGGCGGTCTGTAAATAATCGAGTCTGGACCAGACAATCCAGTGATCGACAGCATGAGCATCCATCTATGCAATTGGGAACTGATGACATGTGTCAACCAAGTCAGTGAGCCTGACCACCCGATCCAGTTAGTCGCCTCTCACGATAAGCATGGGTTACTGAAGACGAATTCAAACCCGGATCTTCACGGGTCTCATAAAGAAAGAATCAGGCCGGTAGTGTATTGGGATACGACTCTCAACAGAATATATAACTTCAGCTTAACCATGTTAACAGCTTGTCAATTTGTTGTGTTTTGTCCCTTGCCTTGTGACCTAGAGCATGAGGAACCTCATACAACAGGGCAGGCTGGAAGTCTCAGTGCTCTAATTTAGTCTAAACATGTCAATTTTATTGTCTTAATAATGCTGGACTTAATGTTATAAATTTGCTATTCCAACCTCCTACTTCATGCAGAATGAAAATGAATCCTCACAGGGGTGGAAATAACTTTAAAATTGCTAGTGTACTCCGGTACAGTGGCACATGTAAAGTCACTTGCCCTGATAATTTTTCCACTATACCGACCGTTTTCTTGTTGATTTTTTAACTAAACAACATAATTAACATTGGAAAGTCAACTGGACACGGTACAGTGTGATATACAAATTTGCTTGCCCTACAGAAAAAAACAGTGGACACGGACGTCGGGCAATGGGTTATTTCCACCCCTGCCTCAGTAAAACTGGATGACATTTGAGACAGTGTCCCACTTCCAGTTTACACCAGCTTTTCTGGCTTAGATCTGGGATACGTACTGAAATTGTCTTTTTGTATATCAATATGATTAGCTTGTTTTTTTAGTGTTGGCATTTGTGGACAATAAGTTTGTTTAACACTGTCTGATTTCATGTTTTCTCAGTAGAAAAGGGAAGACATTTTTGATTGTTTACTTTGTGACATTTTTATTGTTGTAGAACTGAATACTCTGTTGAATGACTGCATTATGGTAAAAACTTTCAAGACATCTGCGTGGTGTCATAAACATACATAAACAATCTTTATTTTTCACTCTCAAGAATAAAGCAGCTGATTTAAGTGACAAAGAGGGATTTGCTAGGTTGATGTGTATACAGGAAAGTTTGTTGATCCATCGTGCACATAAACTGGATGTTGCTTTGAACATCATGCAAAAAGAAAGTATGTATACTCAGTTTGTATACTGATAGATTATACATGGTCCAGAATTTGTGTCAAGTGAAATTTATTAGCCTGTTTGTGGAAACAGCACTCAGTGCAGTCTGTTTATGCACAACCTGATTTTAGCCATGTTTACCAATACAGCGTCCTGCAAAATATGCACATAGAATCTCAAAGTCATTGTCATCATCAATACAGTATGTTCGTGTTGTTTACGTTGTTTGTTGTTGTGACGTAGATGATGAGACATGCCTGGTCTAACTATGAGAAGCATGCTTGGGGAGCAAACGAACTTCGACCCATCTCAAAACGAGGTCACACTGCCAGCATCTTTGGAACCCTTTCTCTGGGAGCAACAATCGTTGACGCCATTGACACTCTTTACTTGATGGGCATGAATGAAGAGTTCAAGAAGGCCAGAGACTGGATTGCCACAAGTTTCCACTTTGAAGGGGTAAGTCCTGATTTGGGTCTTTTTGTGGGAGATGGGGTAGCCATGTGGTTAAAGCACATCATGTCCAAGGTCCTTGTTCAGTTCATTTGAAAGTTCAATTTGGTTGCAACAACACCTGTCAGGCTGGGATGTGGACAGACACCAGGTTGGACACCTATCATGTATATCACATCATTGACTGAAGCAGGTGTAGACTGGGGACGCATTTACTGTATATCGCCACGTAGAGTGTGACCCCATGTGTAAGAAGATTCCCCTCTTCAAGCCTCAAGACCAACAATATTGATATACCCTGTGTAGAAAGCAATCCGGAATGGAGCACATCATGATCCCTAAATTTGAAATAAAAACATGTTTGTGTTACAATATTATATTTCTACTATATTCCATGTAGCATGTGTGTATATTCTGTGTAGTATTCTCCCTATTCATGAAGCAGTGAAACATGCCTTGCCAGACTGTCAGTTCCCATGCAGTGTAGGCCCAGCAACACCTGCTGCATTACATACATGGATGATGAGGACTCTGTGTGAGGGTTGATCAGTTTCCTTACTTCCTGGAATTTAGTTGAAATACAACATCTGTGCCAGATGTGTGATGAGGATATATTGACAAGGGGTTAATCTTAGTTCATGATGCTACATGGCACTGTTAAAATGATTTTCTGGAGTACTAAACTAGCATGGCAGTGGATGACAATATGATTATGAGCACACGTATTGTTCATTTTGATTCACTAATTAAGGCCAGGGACAATCAGTTTGAGTGAAGGGAAATGGGGAAACCTACAGGTGTACATACAGGTGAAGGCTGGCCCTACTTCTTGTTGGCACAGTTAGCATGGGTAGTATTGGCACATTAATGCATCTCTGTGTGCATCCCAGACAGAAACATGTCTCTCCCTGATGTCAGGAGATCCTTGTCATGTTTGTGTGAAGACTGTAGACAGGGTTGTACACATGCAGGAATGTACATCCAGTCTGCTCGAAGTTGTAGAATGGGTACAGTTATGAAAATGTCGCATCCCAAGAGGTTAAATGATATTCATTGTATCAAATGTTTGTCAAATAAATATACAGGTGGAGTAATTGTCCAACCACACAGTATCGTTCACTGTAACATTTCCTAACTTTACACGACCCTTCTGTGGCTGTTAAGTATAGGTTCTGGTGATATGTTTGGAAGGCAGGGTAAAGCACTGCAGTGGGAGTCCACAGGTTCAAGTGATATAGCAGCACAGTCATAGCATCTCATAAGCCCCTGTAGTTTCCATCAATGCATGGTGTTGCTGGATTTTGCTGTGGTAAAATCGTGTTCTTTCACAATTACCAGTTGATGTAATTCTCATCATCTTGAGTCCATGTGTTTCCTGTAGTCATGGTAATTACCATGGAAACCTAGCTTGTGCCTTCAGGAAAGAGACTGATATGATTTAACCTTGTTTAACTTACATTTGTTACCATGGCAACTCAGCAGACTTCATTCTATATTTTTTTACAATCAGTGATCAGGGCAATGAAATTAAATCACAAGTTCTGATTTCTGATAAATATTAATTGTGTCAATAAACATAACACTTCAATAGCTTGAGATCATCTGTGTGAAGTTCTAGGTGGAACCAGGTGGCCCGGTCATCTAAGGTGTTATAGTTGGCTGTGTTGAGTTTGTTCCTGTGAGTGAGCCTGGTGGATGAGCTTAGTAAATGAATGGGCATCGTGGGTGAGTCTGGTGGGTGGGTGAGCCTGGTGAGTGAGTGAGCCTGGTGGATGAGCAAGCATGGTGGGTGAGCGAGCATGGTGGGTGAGTGAGCATGGTGGGTGAGCGAGCATGGTAGGTGATCAAGCATGGTGGGTGAGTGAGCATGGTGGGTAAGTGAGCATGGTGAGTGAGCGAGCATGGTGGGTGAGCGAGCATGGTGGGTGAGCGAGCATGGTGGGTGAGGGAGCATGGTGGGTGAGGGAGCATGGTGGGTGAGTGAGCATGGTGGGTGAGTGAGCATGGTGGGTGAGTGAGCATGGTGGGTGAGTGAGCATGGTGGGTGAGCGGCAAGCATGGTGGAGTGAGTGAGGAGAGCATGGTGGGTGGTGAGCATGGTGGGTGAGTGAGCATGGTGGGTGATTGAGCATGGTGGGTGAGTGAGCATGGTGGGTGAGTGAGCATGGTGTGAGCATGGTGGGTGATTGAGCATGGTGAGTGAGTGAGCATGGTGGGTGAGTGAGCATGGTGGGTGAGTGAGCATGGTGGGTGAGTGAGCATGGAGTGAGCATGGTGGGTGATTGAGCATGGTGGGTGAGTGAGCATGGTGAGTGAGTGAGCATGCATGGTGAGTGAGATGGTGGGTGAGCATGGTGAGTGAGTGAGCATGGTGGGTGGTGAGCATGGTGGTGAGCATGGTGGGTGAGTGAGCATGGTGGGTGAGTGAGCATGGTGGTGAGTGAGCATGGTGGGTGAGTGAGCATGGTGGGTGAGTGAGCATGGTGGGTGAGTGAGCATGGTGGGTGAGTGAGCATGGTGGGTGAGTGAGCATGGGTGGGTATGGTGGGTGAGTGAGCATGGTGGGTGAGTGAGCATGGTGGTGAGCATGGTGGGTGAGTGAGGCATGGTGAGTGAGTGAGCATGGTGGGTCAAGATGAAGAGCATGGTGGGTGAGCATGGTGGGTGAGTAGAGCATGGTGGGTGAGTGAGCATGGTGGGTGAGTGAGCATGGTGGGTGAGTGAGCATGGTGGGTGGTGAGCATGGTGGGTGAGTGAGCATGGTGGGTGAGAGCATGGTGAGAGCATGGTGGGTGAGTGAGCATGGTGAGCATGGTGGGTGCAGTGAGCATGGTGAGTGAGCATGGTGGGTGAGTGAGAGCATGGGTGAGTGAGCATGGTGGGTGAGTGAGCATGGTGGGTGAGAGCATGGTGGGTGAGTGAGCATGGTGGGTGATTGAGCATGGTGGGTGATTGAGCATGGTGAGTGAGTGAGCATGGTGGGTGAGTGAGCATGGTGGGTGAGTGGTGAGCATGGTGGGTGAGAGCATGGTGTGAGCATGGTGAGAGAGCATGGTGGGTGTAGTGAGCATGGTGGGTGAGCAGTGAGCATGGTGGGTGAGTGAGCATGGTGGGTGAGTGAGCATGGTGGGTGAGTGAGCATGGTGGGTGATTGAGCATGGTGGGTGAGCATGGTGGGTGAGTGAGCATGGTGGGTGAGCATGGTGGGTGAGTGAGCATGGTGGGTGAGCGAGCATGGTGGGTGAGCGAGCATGGTGGGTGATTGAGCATGGTGGGTGAGGGAGCATGGTGGGTGATTGAGCATGATGATCATGTGGCAGCATGTGAGTTAGCTTGGTGAGAGTGATTTTGTGATGCCTTGTTCTCTTTCTGTTACTCTATAAATAAATGATGTATGTGCTTTTTATTGCAGTCTACTGAATTATCTGTGTTCGAGACCAACATCCGGTTTGTGGGTGGGCTACTAGCTTCCTACGCTCTGTCAGGAGACCCGGTAAGATCATGCTTCTGTTTCTCATCAGACTTCAGTTATCCTGGAAAAACTTTACTGTAACAATGGTAACAGGGTCTGAGCTCTGTTGTTTACCATTGTATTACCTAGGTAATGAGTTAATTATTTAAATTATATATCATAGTTGAAAATACGACAGGTTTGTTTTGTGCCACAATGAGACACCACAATGAAGTTCTACTTAATGCACAGTTGTGTCCTGAAAAGATCAAACTGCGAAATGCAAGTATGTTCACAGCTTATCACTTGATGCTAAAAAGGTGTGGCTGTGTCTGTCCTGATAAGGCTAATCTAGTTGTGTCATGCACCTCGAGTTTATGTTTTTATTCTGATAAGACCTCTTCAGACTGCACCGTTTACAATTTGGTCAAGTTAGCCCATCTTGCAACCATTGTGAAACTATGTTTGCTCCAGATTGTCAAGACCTGTCACCATTTCAATGTGTCACCTTGCAGAAATGCCTCGGTCTGAAACTATCATAATACTGAGTATTTTTATAACATGACAAATGAATTGGTGAAGGAGAATGTAGCTGACGACACAGATTTATTCTTCATGATTTCATAGTGAGCACTTCTGTTATTCAGTTTGAGAGAACAACTAAGACCGTTGAGGTGTCACATGTCACATAACAACAACCTTATGTGGCTTTTTCTGTGACGTCTTGTCACCCACACATAGTAACTGAATCTGTTGAGGAATGCCTTGTCTTTGCTTGCTCAACATAGTCAAGGCTACAAGAAACACAGCACTCCTACTGGCAGGAATAAAATATTTTAGCACAGTACAAAGAGTACAGTGGTATGTCATTGTCACTTGAAGAAGACACAAAATAAAACAGTTTCACTTTCAAATCATAAAGGTATATAGCCATTAAAAATTATGCCCAATGTTCTGGCAAACTGTAGCACTCACAGAGGCGGTATCTGGGAAGATGAGATTATTCTTTCACTGATAAGAAAAGGAACTGAGATAAGTCTCTCACACTGAAAGACATTTGAGACATATTTCCTTACGAAATGTCAAGTTAATAATGTTGATGTGAAATTAATTTTTTTTTTAAATATTGTGAAACAGAATTGATCAGAATACTTCTCACAGAAATTAGAACTGTTTGTTGTTTACCAGTAAATGTCACAAAACCAGAATGGTGTAATGTTTTTTGCTGTGTTATGAACCAAGATCTCTCCGTATGTCCATGTATGATACATGACCTGGGTCATTTACCTTTCCTTCCTCAGGCTCACTCACTGTGATTCAGTATTATCCACTCACACATGTTCTTCTATGAAATTACTTGATTATTACTTTATACAATATGTACCATACTCAATCCCTCACTCTGCCGGTGATGGTGTCAGGCTCGCTGACTTGGTTGACACATGTCATTGGTTCCCAATTGTACAGATCGATGCTCATGTTGTTGATCACTGGATTGTCTGGTCCAGACTCGATTATTTACAGACCGCCGCCATATAGCTGGAATATTGCTGAGTGCGGCATAAAACTAACTCACTCACTTACTCTGCCACCATGAAATTATTGGAATATTTTTTTGAATAGTAAGCCATGCTCGCACACACACTCATTCACTCACTCACTCTGTCACCATGAAATTATTGGAATATTTTTTTGAATAGTAGTAAACCATGCTCGCTCCCTCACTTACCCACTCACTCACTCACTGGCAGGCCTCCTGGCAGACTGTGAGTCTATATGGTGGGGCAGGTTGAGTATTGATTGCAGTGTCACGTCTTCCATGGGGGATGTCAGAGTTTCACACTCACATAGACAAAATCAATAGTGTTTTTCTTATCTGCGATACATTACCACTGCATCAGTTTCGCATACATTTAACCTTGAGCATGAGTTTATAGTATCTGTCATTTGTCCTGTGGGAAATCTTCTGAAGTGTTCAGGGTTGATGGGGCTTCTCTGATACTAGAACATGTTTGGAATTAGCTCACTGGAATGGTATAAGTCAAATTCTTGTACCTTTGTAAGAGAGAGGATAAATGTAAACATCAAAGCCTGTATGTTTATGATAAATTCAGGTTTGTTGTAGTAATGTTCTATTTTAGAACACCAAAGGGACGCCTAAATATAAATTGTGAAAATATTATTGTTAAATGTTAAACTGGTTATAGGGCAGATTGATTCCCCCCACTAAGGTGAAATCTGGTTAGTCCATACCCCAGGCTGGGTGCATGTAGTTGAAGAACACTGTTCATTTCTTAATCCTGAAATGTTGCAGTCTGAACAAACTCACTTGGCACAAATAACCTCAGATGAATACTTCAAGGATACATGTGGGAAGCATTGAGCATACATTGAGCAGGGCTCAAGATAATTTTTCAACATCAGGAGTACGTACTCCTTATTTTTTCAATATAGGAGTACTGGAAAATCTTAATTAAGAGTACATTTAGAGTACTGAATGGAATTTAGTGGCATATCAGTAACTTTGTGTTTCGTTTCATATGTGCACCACAACACTGCTAGTCTTTTGCAAACAGGTCAATAAACAATAAAACAATACTTTTTTCAGATAAATACGTCTGTAAATGATTCTAAGACCATACACCATTGCTAGGTTTGTTAAATTATTTCCTACCGTATCATGCATATTTTTTATCCGTACATACGCCGATACGGCCCTTATCTGGAGCCCTGCATTGAGGATCTGAGATACATCAAGGATGCATGTGGCATGCATCCTCATATATTGGGAATACATCGGAGATACATATGCCATACACCTACAGTACATGTGGGATACATCTAGGACACATGTGGTATACATCTAGGACACATGTAGGATACATCTAGGACTCGTGGGATACATCTAGGATATGCGTGGGATGCATCTAGGACACATGTGGTATACATCTAGGACACGTTGTATACATTTGTATCAGTTTATTGCATGAAGGCCAGAGGCCCATATACAGAATAAATATGTATGATATGTACAACATATACAACATGCGACACACACGTTACATTGAATCTCTTCTCAATATAAGCGCGTGATAAATAAATAGAGCTACCTTATATTGTAATAGGGATGCTTTACATGAAAGTATTGAATACAGTTTTGTAGCATTAATATTTGATTGTAGCCATTGCGGAAAATACAGTTGCCTTAAATCATTATATGCAGGACAAAGAAATAGAAAGTGTAATTCATTCTCTACAGTATTACAAAATGGACAGAACCTTTGTGATTTTATAATAGATGAATATCTTCCTTGATTGATATATAAATCATTTAGGCCAAGTCTCAGGCGCATAAAAACACTCTGAAGCTTTTTACTCACGTAAGTTGTATAGATACGACTCAGGTTCAAGTAAAGATTTAAACTCACGATAGCAATCATATCTTGAACTTTCATATAAAGATGAATGCCAGTCTTGTTTAAAGATATCAATAGCCCTGGTACGAAAGAGTTTGATAAATGCATTAACGTCGCCCAGGGTTTGGGATAGCCAAACAAATCCAAAGCCAGATCTCTAAACAAAAGAATACGAATACGGGTTGCCCAAGTATTTTTACCAATATTATCAAGATGGACAATCATATTGTAGGTTTTTTTGGGCAGACGATGTTCTGGCATATTTATTACTTTACACCAGTACTTTAAACAGCGAGAGTAAGAAATTATGTACAAAGGAAATCTCCCACATTCACGTATTACACCATATTATTAGGGGTAGACATCCCAACATTTAAAAACCTTTTACATGCAAGAAGGTGAACCTTTTCAATGGCATAAAATTCCTTATTGCCCCAAATTTCAGACCCATAAAGAAGAATAGGCTGTACTTGGGAATCAAACAATTTGAAAAATATATTGGGACCAACAACCCCCAACTTTGGTATAACAGAGAGCAATTGAAGTAGGGCCCTTTTCCTCTAATTGCCAAATTAATAATGGATTTGTTCAGATTTAGTGTATGTGTAAACAGTATCCCTAGATATTTATATTCGTTAACAACAGTCATACGTTCACATTTAAAGTACTACTTTTCTGTAGCTGCCGCTGGACCACCCTTACGAAAAACAACAATTTTGGTCTTTTCAAGATTAACATCAAGTCGCCAGTTATCTGAATAAGATGAAAGTGTATCAATTTGTCTCTGAAGGCCAATAACAGTACTTGACATAAGGATCACATCGTCGGCAAAAGTAAAATAAAAGTTCAACAAGATCAGGAAATAATTGGATGCCATGTCTGCCAGATTGTATAACGTCAAAATATAGTTCGTTGATAAAGAATGAGAAAAGTATGGGGCTTAGAACACAGCCTTGTCGTACACCAGTAGGACAATCAAAATAGTCACTGAAAGCATCATCACATCGAACACAAGACTTTACATTTGAATACATTGACCTGATAATATCAAACATTTTCCCTTTAAGACCCTATTTCTAAGACATTTCCACAGTTTATCTCTGTCAACAGAATCAAAAGCCTTTCTAAAATCAACAAAGGCTACATACAATTTTCTTTTACTAAAAGCTAAACATCGGCTCAATTACTGAGTATACAGTAAAAAATATGATCAAAGGTTGAGTATTCCTTTCTAAATCCAGCTTGTGAATCTGGGATCAAGTCCCTCATATTTGACCACTGTGTTAGCCTATTGTTGATAATAGATACAAATGTTTTACCAACAACACTTGTCAGAGATATGCCCCGATAATTGTTAGGGTTATTTATGTTTCCATTCTTAAATAATGGAACAATTATTGATTTAGCCCATTCAGACGGAAAACATCTAGAATCAAATATCCAATTAAAGCTTTTAACTAGAAACGGCATTATCTCAGGCAAGGCAGTTTTTATCATCTCTGAAATAACACCATCCACACCAGCAGACTTTCTAACTTTAAGGCGAGATACAGCATCAACTATTTCTAATTCTGTAATAGGAGACTCAAGTAGAAACTTATCAACATCACTAAACTCGTCACATCC